CCCCAGATTGGGGAATTTTTCAGCAGTTACCTCCTCAATGACACTTTCTATCCCTTGTCTTCTCTCTTCTTCTTCTGGTACCCCTATAATGTGAATATTGTTCCATGTGGATTGGTCACACAGTTCTCTCAATATTCTTTCATTCTTAAAGATTCTTTTTTATCTCTATGACTCTGTAGTCCTCTTCTATAAGTTCTATTCCATTTACCATCTCTTCTACTACATCTAATCTGCTTTTAAATCCCTCCATTATATGTTTCATTTCAGGTATGGAATTTCTTAATGATTGAATATCCATCTTAAATTTGTGAGTTCTTGAATATTTTTCTGTACCTCAATAAGCTTGTTTATGATTTTTATTTTGAACTCTCTTTCAGGAACATGGGTGAGTTCAGTTTCATCTGGCCCTTTTCCTGGGGTTTGTGAGATTTTGGTGTGAACCATGTTCTTTTGACATTTTATATTTCTGTGTGGTGCCCACTACTGCTCAGAAGCTCCAGTCTCTGGAGCTGCTCATCCCCTAGAGTGAGGTTGGGGGTCTTAGGGGAGTGGAGCTGTTGTCTGGCAGGAGGAAAGATCTGTTTCCTGATTCCTGTGTGTGGTGCCTGTTTCCATTATCAGAGCCAGTGGGCTGAGCACACAGGTGTATGCCTCTGTGCTTTGTGTCTCCAGCTATTGTAGGTGGGGCCTCCCTCTGACTTGCCTGATGCCTGCAAAGTGACTGCTGGTTTGCAAGCCATGCTGTCATGCCCGGAGAAAGGCTTGGCGGGCTGTGTATGACAGCGGGGGGCCTCGGAGCTGAGTAGCCAGCCATGGGGATGGAGTGCCTGAAGCTCCTCAAAGTTCCCAACCAGCTGGGAAGAGTGTGCCCAGACAACCTTGTCCCCCTATCCCTTCTCCAGCACAGCAACCTTCATGAAAATCCCACCCCTTCAGCAACCCTCTCACCACTAGGAAGCCTCTTAGACCACCTGCCTTTCCCTTGTCCCAGAGTGGCTGGTGTGGGTGCCCTCCTCCACAAATGGCTGCAATCTGTCTCTCAAGCACTCCGCCTGTCCCAGCTCCCCATCCTCCAGAGCATCACACAATGTAGGTTTCTGCTCGCAAAGCAGACCTCCAGGGCTAGGTGTTCAGCAGTCCTGGGCTTCCTCCACCTCCTTCCCCGCTCAATTTCTCTTCCTCCTGCCAGTGAGCTGGGGTGAGGGTGGGGCCTGGATTCCTCCAGAGCAAGGCTTTGGTACGTTACCCTGTTTCCTGAGGTCTGCTCTGTTCATGAGTTCTGTATGCAGTCTAGTTCAGCCTTCTTTCTTGTTGCTGTTTTAGGGTGAGTTCTATTAACTACATTTGCACACTATCTGTGCTTTTGGAAGGAGTTCTCTGTCTCACCTCTCATACCGCTATCTTGAATCTTAACAACTGTTACCTTTTAAGTGTGTGATAATAGGCTAGATCTACTGTACCATCTATAAAATGGGTACAGTAATATCTCCTGTGAGAGTCAATTAGATACTTTATGAGCAGACCAGTACAGTATCTATTACCTAGTTATGAGTCTCTATTAGTATTGGAAAATCATTTTCAGTATTCTACCTTTCCCCTTTGCTCCTGCTTAGAAGGACAGTATTGTCCAATCTTTCTTCATTTCCCTCTCCCTGTTCTTTTCTTTGCTCTTCTTCCACCATCCTTTTTTCTGTGGTCTAAACTCAACCCCCAAGTAAGTTGTTTGTAGTAAGGAGCCAAAGAAAACTCGGATATAGGAAGAATGTTTCCATTGTCTCGAGTTGATGACTTTATGCCGTATGTTATGGAGGCCTATGTCTCAGCTGGCTACCCCCCAGGTTCCTTTTGTATCAATGTGGTATAGCAGCAGGCATACCTCCAGGTGTGGGGGGGCACCTTCCTCTGTGTGTGAAGGAGATCAGCATAGTATGATCTTTTGTTGTTTTTTTCTCCATCAGAGTGAACACTTTGCCATGGAGATGGGCAAGCAACCCATAATATTTGAAAACCCAATGTATTCATCCGGGGATGGTACTGTCAAAGTAGTTCAGCCAACCCAGGTGAGAGATCACACAGCCCTTTCTTCCAGGCGCTGCTGACTGACTGACTGATGCCCCTGTGCGTCCCCCCTCAGCTGGAAGGAAGCACGGGGCTCCAGTCCTCAGCCTCACCATTTGCCGCAATGGGACTGACCTCAGGGTGTGAGGCCTGAGAACAGTCAGAACTCTGCTTTGCTGGCAATTCACTTGAAATAAAATGAGGTCATGTTTATAAACACATATCCAAGTTTGAGAAATGAAACAGGAAACATAAAAATATAGGAAAGGGAGTGAATGTCTACTCTGTAATTTATTAATTATATATTCATGGTAATTTGCACTTTAAGAGGGAACCTTGGAATCACATGAATGTTCTAGGAATGTCCAGATGGGTATTATTAATTCCATTATTCCTCTTGTTTCAAAAATCCAGTCTCTTTTAAGCAGTCCTCTGAAATTATTAATTTTATTTGAAATTTGCCAAGATGAGATTCTCAGTTCATCAATGAGTTTGGGAATAATTCATGCTGTTCTTCTATGATTTGGCTGCCAAAATACAACCAGAAGATCTTTTATCTAAAAATATGGTCAACAGTGGAAATAGTGGGGCATAGAGAACACAATAAAAACTGCTACTACTAAGTAAGAGTATGACCAGTGATGGGTGTATTTGCCTCTAAGAATTAAGGCACAAGATAGATAACTTTGTGGTTGGTGCTTCTGATTTTGGGGCAATGGGAGTGGTGTTTAGTCCTGAACCACAGCCTTAGTCACATACAACAAAAACTGTGCTTGACCTTGTCTGTGGGAGAGCAAGGTGGTAAAAAGAATGAAAGAGCTGATAAACTTTACAGCAAAAATTCTCTCAGAATTGAATAATGGCCATCAATATGTGCACAGGTGACTGTATCGGGAAATGTGGATAACAAGAACTACGGAAGCCCCATAAACCCTTCTGAGCTAGCTCCAGATACAAAGCCGGCTTCCCCAAGTGCTGATGGGATGCAGGTAAAAGGGGCTGGTGGCTGAGAAGCTATGGGATTCGGGAAGGACTTTGGAATTTCTGGGTTTATTAATCCTTGGTAACTAGGGAGGTCCTCATATCCTCACAGATCCCAAGATGTGTAGACAGTTAGTAAGTATAATTTAAAACCGTAAATTTAGAAACATTCCACCAAGTAAAGTCACATTCTAACATTGAGATGGGAATAATGTTCCTTGTGACATGGGAAAACATGTGGAGGAGAAAGGCAACAGACTTGTAGATCCAGCCTCTTCAGGCCAGAGGCACTTAATCTCAGAGAAAGACTTACTAGGAATAAGGGGCTCAGTGTGTCAAAGACACATACAGAAAACCCTCTCCTTCCATGTGAGAGACAGTTCATCTGGTGTGCATCTTTGTTCCCTTTGTAATGGATGTTGCTCTGAGCTCTCCTGCTGTTACCTATGATCACCACAACATGGCAATGATTCATACCCTCTTCATCTGTCCGTTCACATCCATCTAACCATCCAGCCAAAATTTTTGCTCTTTAATACTATACATTAAAAGAAAAAAAGATCAGTAGATGGAGCTCCCCTACTATGCCTTCATGTCCTTTGAAATTTGTAGACTATTTGTCTACAGAGAGAAATTCAAAAAACAAATTTGATATAAAACTCTATTTTAATGGATAGTATAGTACTAGTTTTAATAAGCACATATGCAGCTAAGATCTAGCTGTTTGATTTTGGGCAAACAGAATTATTTTATCTCTGGGTCCCAGGGTCCTTAATGTTCTCATTGTGGGGCATTATTGTCATATTGTATGGGATGGTTCTTTGTGATACAAAACTATCCTTTGCATTGCAGGACATTTTAGTATCCCTGGCCCTTGTCCATGAAATGCCAGTATCATCTCCCCTAACACACTGTGATCGCAGAAATCGCCCCTCCTATCTCTCCCTCTCCTGCTGCCACCGCCTCTCCCTTCCCCATTACCAGTTGAGAACAATAGGATCTAGAATGTCTCAGTTCTGAGGTTATATGACTTCTTCTGTGAAATAATATAAACAAAAGTCTCATAAGGGTACTTAGACATCTCACAATTTCTCCAGTTGTTATTTCTCAAGTTGTATAATTATAAACATAATTGCTGTCTGCAAAGTTAACTTGAAGTTATGTTAGATTTTTACCATCTCAAACTTGGGTTCCTCTTCTGCTTTGGGTCAAAATAAAAGTTGAACTAAATTGATGCTAATGAGAAGAGCTTTTGCTATGTACACTTTTTCATATTCCATTGCTATTCCTTCATCTAACACAAACAAACACGTTGTCTTAGGAATTTTCAGTTTCATATTTTTCAAGGGACTGAATATTTTTTCTCTAAGCTACATTAAAAAGTGGATTATTTTTGAAGATTAATTGTCTACAGACACCAGAGCACTTGAATGTCACATATTAAATTCTCTGGTTCCCAATTCTGACTCAACCCCAAAGCAGTGCCATATTTCTTATATTGTTGACATTTTATTATCAGTTCCTTTAAAGTCTAGCAATCCTCTTGCCCTGACAGAACTCTCTCCCAACCCTAGCAGGATGGTGCATGTCATGGGGATGCTGCAACTTCTGACCTGCACATAAGTTAGAAACAAAATGATCCTGAGTCTTTCAAATGAGAGCACATCTTCACCAATGACAGACCCCCTTGTTCTCATCTCCATCTTTGCAGTACTTTATTTCTGGGTCTTGCTTTGTAAAATCAGTTGAGGCTGATCCCCTCTAAGGTCTGTCTTCCATGGTGTGTCCAGGGATCTTCTGGTGCACTGACATCACAGCCAGTGTGGCGTAAAGCAATAGAGGCACTTGGTTAGAGTCACCCTAAGTTGACATTAATATGCCAAAGAGGCTCACAAATTTATTTTTCTTAAATTAATCTGCTCAAAGTACTCAAAGTTAAGAACATGAACTCCTGAGACTCAGTTCTGCTGTTTTCCCAAAAGTCTCATTGACATGCATTGGATTTCCCAAGGTAATAAAAATGAAAATCAACACCATTTCTCTTGTTAGTAACTGCATAACTCAGAATAGCCATTCTATACCAAAGCAATTTTAAGAGCCCTGGCCTTCTCCATTTAAACATAAGCTCCCCTGGGCAGGCTCTGACCTGAGTGTCTTCACCTTCCCCTTGGTGGTGACCACAGACAGAGTAAGCTACCCACTTAAATGCGGGTTAAGTGAGTGGCCTTTACTGCTGCTCCTCTAGTTCTGTGCTCTCATTCCTTCACATGTCGCTCGTCCACTTGCACAGAGTAGGAGACAACCCATGAAACACAGAGGCTGCTTTGGCTTCCTCCTGGAGTGGGCTGTCCCCTGTCTCCTTCCATCCGGCAGCCAGAGCTGTGGCCGGTACAGCCACCACAGGCAACTTTTCAGCAAGACAGAGGCCGCCTCTCACAGTGTAGGGTGATTTCTCTTTGGGTTCTTCGGTTCGCGGGCCCCTGAGTCTGTAGTCATGGCCTGCTCTTCTACCTACACTTCAGTTATATCATGACACTGTGACTCCATTTCTTTATCTGTAAAGTAGAGATTAGAGCACCATTGGTGCTTCTGATTTTGGGAAGATTAAATCAGGAACTAGTAAAAATCTTAGTCCCTGACACATAGTAACTCTCCACAAATACTGGCTATTTTGTTGTCACTATTGTTATTAGGATTACAGGAGGAAATGATGACCAGAGCAGGGATATGCTTGAGTTGACCAAGGGTCAGGACACCATTTTAGGAAGTGAGAGTTACAACCTGGCTTATTCTTTTAGTTTTCAGGCAGCCTCTGAAGAAATCTCTTGCCTGTCTCTGTCAAAGCATCTAGATACTCTGGGCACAGATTCTGTGAACTATAAATGTCAATCAAAGGAATGTTTTGAGATTATTAGATGAAGAACCCAGAGTTTCAGTTACTGTTCAGGGACTGTTGGAGGAGGAATTCAATTTGCCACGTGGGCCTGGTCACATGGTCCCAGGGCCCAGATTACTTTTTCTTCCAGTAAGAAGAAATTTTAAAACCTAGACAAGGAGAAGAATGCCATAAAAATTCCATTGCTGAAAGTTTCCTCTTTCCTCTTTTTCATTTAGGCAACAAAATGGAATATCTTCAAACGAAAACCAAAACAAACTACCAACTTTGAAAATCCAATCTATGCAAGGGTAATTTCTGACAGTTTTTCATAGCACTGGCATTCTTTCTTAGCAGTAACTTGCTTGGCTAAATTGGGCACATGCTCAGATTATTCTGAGCAAACTCGCAGAGATTCATCTTCTTCACACGAAACTGTTCCCAATCATGTTGCAAGATTAAATGGCTGACTCATGTTTCTTTGTGGCCCTAGACGGAGAGTGAGCAAAAGGGAAGTGCTGCTGTGGCCCCTCCTTCACTGCCTGCTCTTCCTGCTGAAACTCCTACAAAAGCAGACCCAACTCCATCCTATACTGCAACAGAGGATACTTTCAAAGACACCGCAAACCTTGTTAGGGAAGACCCTTAAGTATAGCTATGCCAGTTATTTAGGGAATAGTTAGAAATACACTTTTGCACATAAATTTTTTGCGAACAGATGGAAAAAAGTTAACATTCAGTACTTTATAAAAAACTACTTGTCCCCAGTTTGCCTGTAGTTTAAAGTGTCTGTGGAAACTATGCCTTGTGTCTTTTTTTTTTTTTTTTTACTTCTGCTGGCTCATATTTTTACAAATAATTATCACAATGTACTATATGTATATCTTTGCACCAAAGCTATCTGAAGATAACACTAAATATATTGTGCATTTGTAAGTTTCAGAAAGATGATCACATCGTGACTTTGCTAATAAAAATATCTGCTTAATTGGTTGGGATTGTTACAGTAAATGATCTAGTGAGAAAAATAAGTGACCTGGGGCCTTTAGCCATGTCTACAGATGAGGCACCACTTATATTCCCTATAGAATTATCCAGGAAAGGAATCTGGGCCCACTCTTGGGACCATTTTTTAATACATCTGCACTTAATTAATGTTCAATAATAAAAATGACCTGACTAATGGGCATATCGCTAGAGGACACTGTGTGTTGTTTAGGGATCTCGATTTGACTGCAGATGCCTCAGGTAATTCAGAGGGTAGAAAAAGCAATTCAGTTTTATCCTTCTGCATGTTTGTGTTGTCTAGCCAGAACACTTTCATATGTGTTATCTGACTTGCTGTCAAGTCTACATTTTTATTTGTAATGTCACTGAGAAAACCCCATGTCCTTAAGTGCAGATGTCCTGCAAGGAGTTCATATTTAATCGAAGGAACTCTTTCACATGATGCACCATAGGGCACTTTACACAATTGCTTGGCATCTCAGGTGGCCACCCACAGTGGAAACTGGAGCTTAGTAGCTCAGTTCCTAACACCAAATCTGTGTCTTCATTAAGGTGCAAACCAAATAATGGTTAACCAGATAATGGTTAGATGTGTGTGAAAATATCATTATAACAACTATTTATTTCCTAAATTGAACATGAGCAGAAAGGGAAATGGTTCTTATTGAACCTTTTTAAAGGTCCTTTGGCTAAGTCATACCTTTGTATCAGAATGTACTGTACAGCCTAGCTTTTCTCTTGCATAGTAGGTATAGTTTCCACAATGGAGGCCAGGGCAGGAATATACAATTTCAATACTAAGTAGCATGCGCAGCTCTCTGTGCTAATATGGCACATTTTAAACAATGAATGAATAGATAGATGGATGGATGGATGGATGGATGGATGGATGGATGGATGGATGGATGAATGAAACATGTACTACTGATTATTTTATTCCTGAGTTCTCAAAATATTTGTTGCTTATATTTTGAATGCTTATTACAATTACTTTCAAATGTACTTTGATTAGAAAAGCAAATGGAAATGATGCTGCTGGAAATTTCTAATAAATGTATATTTTATCAGATTTCTGTGTGCCTCTTAGCACAACTGTGTCCTGAGTCAGTTGTATTTTGCTGGGCAAGAGAGCTTGGAGTTAGAAACTGGTCACCGGTTTCCAGGATTTCCCATTAATTATTATTATTATTATTTTTTTTTTTACTATTTCCTCATTCATTCATTCATTCATTCACTTACTCTGTGTTCTACCAGCATTCAGCTGAACACAAATGGAGGCAGAACCATGGGTTTAAGGAAAATATGTATGAGGAGAACTTTCAATTAAGAATTCTATCCATTAGATTAGTTTTTTCTTGAATTGAGAAAAGACAAATTTCAATTTTTTTTGCTTGTTAATTAATTGGTCTACTAATTTTACTGTGGATTTCTTTTCTATTTTGGTATCATTAATATAAAATCACATGGGCAACATTGTGGTTAGTAGATTCCCCCAATTATCAAGTCCCCACCATGTACCACATTACAGTCATTGTCCATCAGCGTAGTAACATGCTATAGAGTCACTACTTCTCTGTGCTATACTGCCTTCCCTGTGTGCCCCCACATTATGTATGCTAATCATAATGTCCCTTATTCCTGGTCTCCCTTCCTTCCCACACCCCCAAGTCCTTTTCCCTTTGGGAACTATTAGTCCATTCTTGGATTCTGTGAGTCTGCTGCTGTTTTATTCCTTCAGTTTTTGCTTTATTTTTATGCTCGACAGAAGAGTGAAATTATTTGGTACTTGTCTTTCTCCACCTGGCTTATTTCACTGAGCATAATACCCTCTATCTCCATCCATGTTGTTGCAAATGATGGGATTTCTTTCTTTCTTATGTCTGAATAATATTCCATTGTGTGTATGTACCACATCGTCTGTATCCATTCATCTACTGATGGACAATTAGGTTGCTTCCATTTCTTGCCTATTGTAAAAAGTGCTGCAATAAACATAGGGGTGCATATGTCTTTTTGAAACTGGGATCCTACATTCTTAGGGTAAATTCCTAGGAGTGGAATTCCTGGGTCAAATGGTATTTCTATTTTGAGTTTTTTGAGGAACCTCCATACTGCTTTCCACAATGGTTGAACTAGTTTACATTCCCACCAGCAGTATAGGAGGGTTCCCCTTTCTCTGCATCCTCGACAGCATTTGTTCTTCCTAGTCTCTTCTATGTTGCCCATCCTAACTGGTGTGAGATGATACCACAATGTGGTTTTAATTTGCATTTCCCGATAATTAGCAATGGGGAACATCTTTTCATGTGACTGTTGGCCATCTGAATTTCTTCTTTGGAGAAGTGTCTGTTCATATCCTCCATCCACTTTTTAATAGGGTTATTTGCTTTTAGGGTGTTAAGGCGTGTGAGTTTTTTTAATATATTCTGGATATTAACCCCTTGTTGGATCTGTCATCTATAAATATATTCTCCCATACTGTAGGATGCCTTTTTGTTCTGCTGATGGTGTCCTTTGCTGTACAGAAGCTCTTCAGCATGATGTAGTCCCATTTGTTAATTTTTTATTTTGTTTCCCTTGCCTTAGGAGATGCATTCATGAAAAAGTTGCTCATGTTTATATTCAAGAGATTTTTGCCTATGTTGTCTTCTAAGAGTTTTATGGTTTCATGACTTACATTCAGGTTTTTGATTCATTTTGAGTTTACTTTTGTGTATGGGGTTAGACAATAATCCAGTTTCATTCTCTTGCATGTAGCTGTCCAGTTTTGCCAACACCAGTTGTTGAAGAGATAGTCATTTCCCCATTGTATATCCATGGCTCCTTTACTGTATATTAATTGTAATTAATTGTAATTAATTGACCATATATTCTTGGGTTTATATGTGGGTTCTCTATTCTGTTCCACTGGTTGGTGGGTCTGTTCTTGTGCCAGTACCAAATTTCTTGATTACTGTGGCTTTGTAGTAGAACTTGAAGTCAGGGAGAGTAATTCCATCTGCTTTATTCATCCTTCTCAGAAATGCCTTGGCTATTCAGGGTCTCTTGTGGTTCCATATGAATTTTAGAACTATCTGCTCTAGTTAATTGAAGAGTGCTGTTGGTATTTTCATAGGGATTGCACTGAATCTGTAGATTGCTTTGGTAGGGTGGCTCTTTTGACAATATCAATTCTTCCTATCCATGATCATGGGATGTGTTTCTATTTATTGGTATCTTCTTTAATTTCTCTCATGAGTGTCTTGTAGTTTTCAGAGTATAGGTCTTTCACTTCCTTGGTTAGGTTTGTTCCTAGGTATTTTATTCTTTTTGATGCAATTGTGAATGGAATTGTTTTCCTGATTTCTCTTTCTGCTACTTCATCATTAGTGTATAGGAAAGCAACAGATTTCTGTGTATTAATTTTGTATCCTGCAACTTTTCTGAATTGAGATATTAGATCTAGTAGTTTTGGAGTGGATTTTTTAGGGTTTTTATGTACAATATCATGTCATCTGCAAACAGGGACAGTTTAACTTCTTCCTTGCCAGGCTGGATACCTTTTATTTCTTGTGTTGTCTGATTGCTGTGGCTAGGACCTCCAGAACTATGTTGAATAAACATGGGGAGAGTGCGCACCCTTGTCTTGTTCCAGATCTTAAAGGAAAAGCTTTCAGCATCTTGCTGTTAAGTATAATGTTGGCTGTGGGTGTGTCATATACGGCCTTTATTATGTTGAGGTACTTGACCTCTATACCCATTTTGTTGAGAGTTTTTATCATGAATTGATGTTGAATTTTGCTGAATGCTTTTTCAGCACTCTGGAGATGATCATGTGGTTTTTGTCCTTCTTTTTGTTTATGTGGTGGATGATGTTGATGGATTTCCAAGTGTTGTACCATCTTTCCATCCCTGGAATAAATCCTACTTGATAAAAATGGATTATCTTTTTTACGTATTTTTGAATTTGGTATGCAAATTTTTTGTGGAGTATTTTTGCATCTATGTTCATCAGGGATATTGGTCTGTAATTTTCTCCTTTTTGTGGTGTCTTTGCCCAGTTTTGGTATTAGAGTCATGTTGGCCTCTTAGAGTGAGTTTGGGAGTATTCCCTTCTCTTCTACTTTTTGGAAAACTTAAGGAGAATGGGTATTAGTTCTTCACTAAATGTTTGATAAAATTCAGCACTGAAACCATCTGGTCCAGGGGTTTTGTCCTTAGGTACTTTTTTGATTACCAATTCAATTTCCTTGCTGGTAATTGGTCTATTCAAATTTTCTGTTTCTTCCTGGGTCAGCCTTGGAAGGTTGTATTTTTCTAGAAAGTTGTCCATTTCTTCTAAGTTATCCAGTTTGTTAGCATATAATTTTTCATGGTATTCTCTCATAATTCTTTGTATTTCTGTGGTGTCTGTAGTGATTTTTCCTTTCTCATTTCTCATTCTATTTATGTGAGTAGACTCTCTTTTTTTCTTGATAAGTCTGTCTAGGGGTTTATCTATTTTGTTTATTTTCTTGAAGAACCAGCTCCTGCTTTCATTGATTCTTTCTGTTGTTTTGTTTTTCACAATTTTATGTAGTTCTGCTCTAATCTTTATTATATCCCTCCTTCTACTGTCTTTGGGCCTCAGTTGTTCTTCTTTTTTTGGTTTTGTTAATTGTGATTTTAGACTGTTCATTTGCAATTGTTATTCTTTCCTGAGGTAGGCCTGTATTGCAATACACTTCCCTCTTTGCATGGCTTTCCTGTATCTCACAGATTTTGCAGTGTTAAATTATTGTTGTCAGTTGTCTCCATATATTGCTTTATCTTGGTTTTTATTTTGTCATTGATCCATTATTTAGGAGCATGTTATTAAGCCTCCATTTGTTTATGGACTTTTTTGTTTTTCTTGTGTGTAATTTATTTCTAGTTTCATACCTTTGTTGTCTGAGAAGCTGGTTGGTACAATTTCAGTTTGAATTTACTGAGGCTCTTTTTGTGGCCTAGTATATGATCTATTCTTGAAAATGTTCCATGTGTAGTTGAGAAGAATGTGTATCCTGTTGCTTTTGGATGGAGTGTTCTGTAGATGTCCATTAGGTCCATCTGTTCTAATATGCTGTTCAGTGCTCTGTCTCCTCACTTATTTTCTGTCTAGTTGATCAGTCCATTGGTGTGAGTGGTGTGTTGAAGTCTCCAAAAATGAATGCATTGCATTCTATTTTCCCCTTTAAATCTGTTAGTATTTGTTTCACATATGTAGGTGATCCTGTGTTGGGTGCAGATATTTATAATAGTTATATCCTCTTGTTGGACTGACCCCTTTATCATTATGTAATGTCCTTTTTTGTCTCTTGTTACTTTTTTGTTTTGAAGTCTATTTTGTCTGATCCAAATACTGCAACTGCTGCTTTTTGCTCCCTTTTAGTTTCATGAAATACCTTTTTCCATTCCTTTACTTTTAGTCTGTGTATGTCTTTGGGTTTCAAGTGAGTCTCTTGTAGGCAGTGTATAGATGGGTCTTGTTTTTTTATCCATTCAGTGTCTCTGTGTCTTTTATTGGTGCATTCAGACCATTTACATTTAGGGTAATTATCAATAGGTATGTACTTATTGCCATTTCAGGGTTTAGATTCATGGTTACCAAAGGTTCAAGGATAACTTCCTTACTATATAACAGTCTATTTTAACTCAGTATGCTGTTACAAACACAACCTAAAGCTTCCCTTTTTTTTCCTCCATTTTCGTCCTCCTCTGTTGTTTATATATTAAGTATTATATTCTGTACTCTTTGTCTATCCCTCATTTGACTTTGGAGATAGTTGATTTGATTTTGAATCTCCCTAATAATTAATTGTTCTACTTTCTTTGCAGTAGTTTTATTTCCCCTGGTGACAGCTGTTTGACCTTGGAATACTTCCAACTATAGGAGTCCCTCCAAAATGTACTGTAGAAGTGGTTTGTGGTAGGTAAATTCTCTTGGTTTTTGCTTATCTGAAAATTGTTTAATCCCTCCTTCAAATTTAAATGATAATCTTGCCAGGTAATGTATTGTTGGTCCTAGACCTTTCTGTTTCATTGCATTAAATATATCATGCACTCCCTTCT